GCGGCGGGCTCATCAATTGCTATTCCATGAAAGTGAACCTTTCGGAATGGTGGGTCCTCATGCTGCGCTACAAATAAAAACCTCTCGTGGTGATCCTGCTGAGACTGGAGAGCTCGCACAGACCTTCAAAAAACGAATGGAAAAGGACCCGGCTGCAAAAATCTTTGAGGACCCGGCCCCCCTCAGCGAGAAGACTGCCTCGCAAATGCCCTGGCCAAGGCCGAGAGACTACTTAAAAGATCATGGGACTTAGTAACTAGGGTTATAAGTAGGGTAACTATACTTATAACCCTAATCAGGGTACTTATAACCTTACTTACTAAGTCCCATGATCCTCCAAGTAGACGGCTGGGACTCGAGAGGCTTGGCTACAGTAGCCTCTTCGCCCTGGCGATGTGTCAGTGTAGGGGGTTTCAGATGTAGACTTCAAGGCCAACCCACAGGGGTTTAGGGTTTAGGGTTTAGGGTTTAGGGTTTAGGCTTGTTGTGATGATAATCAATATACTTGCAGTGTTGACATCACGAGACGCGGCTTCTTCGTCATCGCCGTGCAGATGGAGCCGTAAAATAAAGTAGCAAATGATGCCGTTGCAGCAGCAATACTGCCACTACCAGCATGTGCAAGCGTGTACAATCCGTTGACATTGGTGAGTTTGGTAGCATACGCGGCGTCAACGCGGACGCAGGCTGGCTTGTCCGACTAGACACGTCGAGTGTGAGGCAAGCAAGACCGGCTGCAGGCTTCTCTTACCTTGCTAGGCTGCGAAACTCGGAACCCCAACGTATACACGCGACCTCGAAAGGCGCAAATTGGTGCCTTCCGGGGGTCCGAGGTGGCATAGCCCGTCTCGGCACGATAAATGCGGAAGTCCTGCGGAGTCTGCATCCCTAAAGTGACTGCGTCAGCAATAGCGCTTCTTGCTGTTTCAGTGACGTACCTCTAAGGACTCATAGGAAGGATGGATAGACGGATCGGCAAAACTCACAATGGTTTGATGACTTTTCTGGGCCTCTGACTCGAGAACGGCTACCTAAGGTCCGTTGTGGTGCTGCTTGACTGCTACCGTTTCTGGCGTCGAGGCATTTGCTTTGCAAAATTCAGGTTTCGTCGATTCAGGCGGACACCCCAAGTGGCTCGTCGAGAGCCGAACCCCGAAAGGCTGATAGAGCGGCGAAATATCATTGACGCCCACGCTGAAGGACACCGTTTGGTTCTCTAGCCTGCTACTGCCAAAGCCAGCAGCCGCTTCTGCGTTGGATTTCACAGCTTGAGGACGAGACCGAATGGAAGTGTGGTATGCACGACTATCGCACCATCCTCGGGCAAGTTCTTGCCGGCTTCAGGCTGCGATTTCAACACTTTATGTTCGTCTGTCAAAGCCCGAAACAGAGCAGCGGCAGTCCAAACCAGCTACCTGATAGAGAGCGCTCTATGGGAAGCCGGGAACTTGTACGAAGTGCAACGCAAGCATCCAAAAAGAGCAACACTAATAATACGAATAATAACACAACATAATAATAACAATAATAATAATAATAGTAATAACAATAGTAATAACACTAGTAATTCTATCACTGCAACTCCGACTGAGAACTCATCTAAACACCTTCGGCAAGTCGTACTCATGCCGAAGAGGTTGCGAAGTGCCTTTAAACTCGAAGCCGCCAACCCCCTGCCGTATCACTCCCGAGCGGTGTCGCTAAACTCGTCGGCGGCCCAAGTAGCTTGCACTGCAGGGCTTGAGGCTATAAAATGCAGACATGGCTGCTATTGCCCCGGCCCTCTTGCGATGCGTACCCATCCTTGCAGCGACACGATCCTGCTCCAGGTTGAGGTCGAGGCCCTTCACATCGTAGATCAGGGCCTCCTGGAATCTTGCTTTGTTCCGATCATGCACCCTCCCCTGAAGTGTCGTTGCGAGGAGAGAGAGAGAGAGAGAGAGAGAGAGAGAGAGAGAGAGAGAGAGAGAGAGAGAGAGAGAGAGAGAGAGAGAGAGAGAGAGAGAGAGAGAGAGAGGAGAGAGAGAGAGAGAGAGAGAGAGGGACAGACAGAGAGAGAGAGAGAGAGAGAGAGAGAGAGGGAGAGAGGGACAGACAGAGAAAAAAAGAAAGTGCACCCAAGTCCCCGCAGCACTTGCAGACACTTTTCGACATCCGAGAAAATTCCAACTCACAAATTCTGGCAAATCCAATCTTCAGACTGCATTGACACTTGCTCCGACGCCGACTCGCCACACGGGCGGGAGCAGCACAATGCAGAGCATCTTGGGTTTTCGGCAGGTACATCTACCCAGAGGCACCATAGTAGTTCCTTCTTGGGATTCAGATTTAGAATCCCTAAACCCTAATCCCTAAACTCTAAATCCTATAACGTAATCCCCAAACCCTATAATCCCCAAACCCTAAATCCTAAATCCTAATCCCCAAACCCTATAATCCCCAAACCCTGAATCCTATAAGGTGATCCCCCAAAAGGGAGCTACTATGGAGCCTATGGGTAGTTCGGGATTCCGGCGGCCCTCAAGCTGGAGAGCCAAAGCTGCAAAAGCAACCAGTCACAGGGTTTATAGGGCTTATAGGCCTTATACTTGGAGGATCATGGGACTTAGTAAGTAAGGTCATAAGTACCCTAATTGGGGTTATAAGTATAGTTACCCTAATTATAACCCTAGTTACTAAGTCCCATGATCCTTTAAATAGGGTGTAGGGTTTAGGGGCAACAGAAAAAGTCCCCGGATGGCTTCACTCAAGCAGCAGAAAAGACTCAAGCGGAGACAACAGAAGTACAGGGGCATCGTGGGCATCCTAAGCCCTAAAAGCCTATGAATGAACCCCTTATAGTAACCCCTACTTGGAGGATCATGGGACTTAGTAAGTAAGGTTATAAGTACCCTAATTGGGGTTATAAGTATAGTTACCCTAATTATAACCCTAGTTACTAAGTCCCATGATCCTTTAAGTAGTCCCTATACATCCCCTCTTATCATAGAACCCCTATAGACCCCCGAACCCTAGTTACTAAGTCCCATGATCCTTTAAGTAGAGTGACCCGAATTCTCACAGGTCCTGGTTCTGCTCCTCCCTTCCGGCGCCCGAGCGCAGCACCCGAAAGCCGCGGCGGCTGAGCCGCGCTTCCAGGAGATCCAGGAGCTCGGGCCAACACTCCTCGAAGTAGAAAAAAGGGGCTTTGTTGATTTAGGGATTAGGATTTAGGGTTTAGGGTTTAGGGTCCTCGAAGTAGAAAAAAGGGGCTTCCTTTGAAGGGCTTTGTTGAAAGGATCCTTGATGGGATCCTTGAAGGGTTGGTTAGGGCTTACAGGAAGGGCAACATCAGGGTTCGTATGGGAGAGTACTACGAGGGTTCTATGCAGCTTCTTAGTATGTAGATGTGCCGCGGGTTGCAGGGTCTCTGAAAACATTGATTTCGGGGCCAGAGCTCTATTGACTCGGAATTTCCGTCGTTCCAGAAGCCTGAACAGTGTAGGGCCTAGGTCGACCCTAGCAATCCTAAGGCCTAGGGCCCAGATCTGATACGACACCCTGCTGAGATGCCTGAAGGCACACGACGTGCTTGGGGCACGTGTGGTTCTCCATGAGTTCGATGACCTGCAAGAGTGCAAGTTGCTGCGAAGCTCTCAACTCTACCACTGCACTACACTGCGCTGCAATGTACTCCTCCACTCCACTCCACTCCTATACTAGACTATACTTTGCTGTACTACTTCAAATTCTACTCTGCTATAACATGAAACAAACACATACATGCACAACTCACGTACGGATACGTCGGTGAAATCCTAAGCAACGCCTCGAGGCCAGCATGCGATTTCAGAACGAGGGATCTGCGACATTCACTGGATAGCAAGAACTTCGCATGTCGTGTCAGAATAGAACGCTGTATCTCTACCTTTCGAAGGGCCTATAACGCATAGCAGTTTAGCTCTGGAACGCCAGGCATGGACATCCGAGGTTAATGCAAATGGGGGAACTCACCTCGAAATGTCTGCACATTGGGTCTCAGATTCAACTTGTCTGTCGCAAAATCGATACTTTATGACTCCAAAAACGCTAAACCTGAGCGTTGAAACAAATGCCTAGAAAGCTCTGCCCCAGCCGGACCCCAGCAAGTTCATTGCGGCAGATTCACATCTCCGGAGAAGCTGCAGAATCCATATTGCGAAGTTTACGGCCTACAGCCCAGGCAAGACGCTGCAGAACCCGTCGGATACTATTTGGAGGTTCACGGGTAGTTGTAAGTGGGTTCTATAGGTCCCTTAATATGGGTTATACTTATGGTTCCCCTACTTATAACCCCACTTATAGCTACCCATGAACCTCCAAGTAGAAAGCCAAATGCAGACCATTGCAGAGAGGCGGCTCTTCGAGCCAACTCTTCCAAGCGTGCCTCCTGATACTATCGACGGCGAGTGTTGGGGTTTAGGGTTTAGAGCCGTCTTTGGCTTTCGAGTTTCTACTAATTCATCCGCACCCTCTCGGTCCAGGTCTTCGAGGAATTTCGTATGAGAGGCTGTACTAGTAGGCTTTAGGGTGAATGGGGTGCCATATCTTCGGGGTTTCAGAAGGTTCACGAGCTTGGTTTGATGAGGCTTCGAAGAAGCCAGAATTTCAGCTCGGCATCAGTGTTTTGGGGTCCTATAGGCTCAAAGATTCTTTCGGAGTGCGTCGCGCTGTCCTCGCCCATCGTGGCAAGCCGGGACTTCTTCAAGCCCTGCACGGGTCTGGAAGGTGCAAACCTTGAGGCCTCAGGGCTCTCGGGGCATGTAGTAGCAATAATTAGAACAAGGTTTTGGGGCCCATTATACTATAATTATAATTATAATAAGGAATATCATTCGGAGTCCCGCTATCTGGGCTGAGACAACGAGTGAAATCTGTTTATGGCAGCAGAGTACGTGAAGTGTGGGGTCCAGGCCGGCTTTATCGAAGCTCCAAGGACTCTTCAAGTTAGGGAAGACAGGAGCACCAAAGCCGAAACTCTATCACATGTCAGCCGTAGCCGCATAGTCCCCCAATAAGGCAAATCCCAAATGACTGAGCAGCGGAGCAAACCAAAGGCTCCGAAGGAACCCGAAGGCCGTTCTTAGAGAGGCCTGCGTGTCCGCGTAGATGTACTGCATGTAGTGCGTGTTCAGCACATTCCACGTCACCACATTCACCTCGACCTGCAGAAACTTAACAGGCCCAAGACCAAGATCCATGCTAGACTCTGCCGGGCTAGAGTTTCCCAAGACTTACTAGGAGCCCTTCAGACCAGCCACTGCCGTGAAACGATGCATGCTGGGGCATCCAATGCCAAAAGCCCTAAATTTGAGTGCGCCTCTTTTGCGTCCTTGGCCAGCTGTATCAGGAGCCGCGCGCCAACTGGTATGTGATCCGAGGGATGTGTCCAGGATTCCTCCGCAACTTAAGGGTTGCAGTAGACTCGTTGCCTTGTGTTTGCATACGTTACCTCCAGGGAGCACTCCACCGAGAACAAGCACAGACAACGCACGCTGTACTACTGTAGTAGCACACGTGCACCAATCTTTACAGCCTCATTGTGCTCGTGAGACTTTAGGGAACTTTCGGGCTGTTTGATTTAATGAGGCTTCAAGCCGGGAACTGCAGATGGGCTGTAAAGTTTACTATAGGCGTTGCGCGGCCGCGTTGAAGGCTGACGGGATCAGTTCCGAAATCGCCTTCAAACATGGCGCCTCAGCAAAGCTTTCGAAAGCTCCTTTGTGTGGCTATAGGCTTAATTAAAGACGGAAGCTCTTCCAGAGTTGAATGAAGGCCCTTGCGCTGGCCTGGAGACCCCCTGCGAGCGGCAAGCGCGAAGTGCCTTTGAAGGAAGAGCTCTGCTGTGTCTGACATGCAACTCTCGCTCTGAAGCTTCCAGACTTCAGCAGGCACTGTTTGTCAAAGATCAGCTGCAGACCTATGCATCCTAACTTCCACATAAGCACTTGCGATCCGAGGAAGGCTTAAGCCCCGATCCCGACGAAGTTGCCCCGAAGCTTGCACTCAATGGCCTTCAGTAGAGCCTTGACGCCCCATGGCAAAGACCCGCGAAAAGCTGCGACATCAAACAGTTTCAAAGTTGACAGAGGTTTCTGGGAGTTCGATGCATCGAGGGGTCAGCTTTGAAGCATATAACACACACAGTCTGGGGCAGTGCAGGCCTGTTCAACAAAGGATGGTCAACAATCCTGTCATAGAAGAGACGCCCACAACAACCCAAGCAGCTTAGGATGTTGATGGAGACCACCTCCACGCAGCACGCGAGGAGCTCTTGAATCTGAGCGAGGACTTGAGTTGGAGGCACGAGAGTCCTGTACATACAGAAAGAAATCAATGGAAGGGGATTTCGGGAATGTGCCATGCCATAGGTCTTTACTGACAGCCAAGGCGCAGTGACAGAAACGGTGCTACTGACGGTATCGCATACATGTCCAAAACTCGTTTTCTGTAGCAGCCACGTATCGCCAGATGAGAACTCTACAAGTCTCCGCCAACTTTCTGATTTCTGACAGCTGCTACTACAAACTTAACACCTGACCAAACCAAGCAATCCGAGCAAATCACTTTGACCCCCGCATCCCGACCAGAATCCCAACCCTAAACCCTCTTAACCGACCAAGCATCCCCGAAGTCGCCCCTAAACCCCTATAAACCCCAACCGTATCCCCCCTCCCCACCCCCACGCGGGCCTCACGAAGTGGCCTTCCAGCTTCAGGCATGAAGAGGTTCTCGAGTCGCCGCAACTGTCGGAGAGCGTTTTGGCTTTCAAGCGGCTCCGGGGCTTCTCTTGCGGAAACCCCCTACACTTGGAGGATCATGGGACTTAGTAAGTAAGGTTAGAAGTACCTTAATTGGGGTTATAAGTATAGTTACCCTAACTATGACCCTAGTTACTAAGCCCCATGATCCTTTAAGCAGTTGGAAAGCCTACCCTTGCTAAGGACATACATGACAAGATCATAGTAAAGAGCACAAGCGAACCAGATCTTTGGCGGGAGTTCTTGTACAGGCTGTAGGGGTGCTCTGCTACAGCAGCTTCTTAGCACTTAGCAATTTAGGGTTTCGGGCTCGGAGATTCCGGGTCTTGAGGTTTGCGTTGCTCCGATGTGCTGAGAAGTTGGTAAAGCACATGTGAAAGCATGTAGATCAGCTACAGGCCACAATGAAGCCAGTCGAAATTCTGTCCAGCCCCCTTGCGCACCGCATCGCGCACGGCCGCCAGGGCCAGGGCGGCAGCATCGTCCTTGCACAGGGAGCGGAAGCTGCTGATGGCTCTCTCTTTCTCTGTCTCACTACGGGTCTGCGGGTCTAACGGTCTGCGGGCTCTGGATATCATATAACAGTTCCTACATGCTCCTATCAAGACACCCCAAGGATAATCTCGTGCTGCTTTGGTGCGAGGACTGCCGCATGTTGGTTCCGGTTTCCCTAGGGAGGGTGTGCACAGAAACACTATGAGACACAATACCTCGGAAGCCACCCTCAAAGACGCAACCCTAAGAACTTTCTCTGCATCCCTCAAACCCTAACACCGAGATGAAACCCGAAACCACAAACCTCAAAAACGTCAATCAACTCCACCAACAGTCGATGTTTCTTGAAGGTCAGGGGTTTGTCCTCGGCTTCGGATTGTCGGGTCAGGCACCGGGACAGTACTTCTTTCCGGCGAATCCGAGATCCCTAAAGCCCAACTTAAAACGAAAACTCTGTAGCTTACTTAGTCGTCAACTTATATTCCCTGAGCCACTCGACAAGACTGTGTCTTCAAGCCCCCTACACTGACTGCTTACACGTGTGTGTGTGTGTGTGTGTGTGTGTGTGTGCATATAGATATATTAGTGTGTCCGTGTGTATACCTTAATTAACAGTTAATGGTTACACACATACATGTACGTGTAAAGTAAACCAGGGACCCATCCCCATATTCTGCAACAGCCAACCACGATTCAAACACTCATGCCCCTGAGGGCACCCTCATAGCAGGCTGCCGATGTCCTTTTGGGCGTCTGCCTCCAAGTGCTCGCGCAGGTCTTTCAGAAACCTTTGAGGATTCGGCTCACAGCTCGAGAACGGCGGATACGGCCTATACTCGGCCGGTCAGGAAAAATCCATCTGTCGGCCTTGACAGCTTTCCGCGCTACAAAGGTCCAAGGCCAAGCGTGCGCTCTGGGTGAAAGTCCTCCTAATAAGAGTAAGTGGCAACAAAGGCTCAGCTTCCGAGGCATAGTGTGCTGTGGATGCTCACTAGAAACTTTACCCTCTGTCTCTCCCGTAGCCCCGACCGAAGCCAACCTGTATAATCTCTAGAAAATCTTGGGTGACGAACCCAAACAGCCTAATCTCAAGGACCAAAATAAGTTGAATGCACAAGTGGCCGATTCAGCGTCCGGACGTCGTCTTCGGCGGCCGGCGGCAAGGACTGGGTGCTACGAGTAGCTACTGAAGCTACTATAGGGGCCTCAATGGTTGTAGAATCGGATTTTGTGGGGTATACTGTTCTATGGGACCACTACCCCACGCACAAGTAACAAAAGAGGCTGAGAGTGTCGGAAATTATGGTCCTGTGGCTGGCTCTTGCGGGCTGCTTTCGCTGCAGATCCGAAATTCTGGAAAAGGAAGATTAGGAAAGGTTCGTGCAGTTTCATCAGTGTCGCTGCAGCAGCGCTGCTGCTTGTGTTTTTGACAAGCTTCCCAACAAAGTCTCGCTATCAGAACCGATCCGAAAGGTCCATTTCAAAAGGCCGCCTGCGCCCGCAAACAGCACGTTCTCTCGGGCCCCCTGCATCCTCGACCGCGCAGTGAGCGCGCATGGCGCTGACGTGGCCCACGGCACTTTGGAGCTCCCGGATCCAGTGATCCTGGCAAGGCTTGAGATTTCGGGCTGATCGTCGACACGGTTGTTTGGATCTCTGAACGTTTAGGCTTGCAAGGTTTCGGGGAAGTGACACACATTACCTGAACACAGGATTTATTTATCCTTCAAACAAATCTGGATGAGGAGCTCGTTACAAAACGGATGCTGAACTGCGACTTAGTTGGAGAGCAGACTCTATATGCAATATGCCAACCAGAGCAATATGCACGAACCCAAGCAGTTCACAGTACTGGTCGTGCGGACAAACAGGAATCACCGATACTTCTCGGCCATCTGTTGTCAGAGGGCTGGTTTATCATTGAACGTTTCGAAACCCGAACTGGCGAGCCTTTTGTCGCGTCAGCTCCTTCCTCGCGTCAAGAGTAGTTTGGATTGCAAGATTTCGGGTGCTGGCTTCGTGCTGACCAGTCCAGAGAGTTGTGGTGTGTCTTTGAACATGCTTGGATTCAAGCGTTTCTCTAAGATGGCATGAGCAGATATTGGTTGGCAGGCTTCTGTTCAAGCGAGCGGGTATACTCGATGCCTTGATGCTGCTGGCTCTTTGAGATGACACACGTCGGGGCGGGCACACACTCGGAGACGCGTGCACACTGTCTGTGCTAACAAGATCATCCGAGCACCAGACGCAACTTTCTGCAAATACCGCAGGTGGTTGTGCATAACCACCGTATTCTTGGCTGATCCACACCTCTACTGAAGCTCCCAAAGCCTCCCAGTTCTTAGGAAACTGGGCCCAACTCCCTCACGTCATGTGGCCTCTGGGACAATCGCTGACGTGGGCGTGAAGGAAGTCCCAAGGCCCAAGATCCTATGAAGCCGAAGTCCTCAACTGCTACAGGAAGTTACTAGTTGCAGACATGTTCACATATATATATATATATATATGCATATCACAGCATATGAACATGAACATGAATCCCAAACCTAAGAGCAGAACTACCACACGAACAACATACAAAAGCACCGAACCACCAACACCCAATGGTCCAAGCTTCTGCAGAAGCTTGTACTTCTGCACTTTCTGCGGGTCGGTGTGCCTGAGCTGCCCAAAGGATCTGTATAGACTGTAGACGTCTGCATCTTAAGACATGTTCCTGCAGTCTTTCTTCCTTCCGAAAGCCCGCAACAGGACTACCAGAGATCACCTGGAGCGTGCAAATGGTATCTTCCTACCAAATTTACCGAGACCTGGCGGTGGAAGTTTGTCCGGGTGGTCGGAGAAGTTACGTCTCTGCACAAGGGGGGGGGGCGTCTCAGTGCCACGGTTGCAACACGAGGATCTCGAGAATTCTGACGATCAGGGCCGACAGGGGCACCCATGTAAATCCCAAAAGACCAGGGATCCGTCTGAACGAGACCCCAGAAACAACCCCCATGTTACGAAATCGTATAGAGTGAACAACTCAACATTCCCTGCGAAGGTATCTGAGCCACTTCAGAAGCTAAGACTCTGGACCCTCTTGTTGGACTGCCGCACAAGCTATGTTCAAAAGACACCTCCCATTCCGCAGATTCAGGTCATAGGGTCAGATGAGCCTTTTTCTTGTGCTGCGTTTCGACATGGAGGCTGTCATGAGCAGGAAGTCCAGGAAAGAGCCCAGCATGAGTTCAGTCGGATGTGACTGCTTGTTTGCCTCCCGACACGATGATGCAGTCCAGTTGAGTTTCATGCGTCGATCCTGAGTGTCCAGGCATTCGGACAGGAGCTGCAGGGTTTTGCCAGGTGTCCCACGGTCGTAGTCTCAGCCGTTGCCACCGTAGCCTCTATATGCTACGGGCTAGCTCGTCAAAGATTTGACGTAGCGACGGAGTAGTCGCCTTCGACATCAACACTGGAGGGATGCTCAGTACCTGTCAGTTCTTCTGACCAGGTAAGGAATAAGCCCAAGCCGCTATCGTCTGGGAAACGGAAAGGCCGTCCACAGCCCAAGACCTCTCCCGGCCAGCCATCCCAACCCCAACTTTCCTGCAGCCATTTTCGGACATCTGCACGGCTGCCATGTTTGGGCAGCTGATACTCGCGGCCCCTAAAGATGACGCAGCCACATCTCACGACGCGGCATCGGTAGTCTGCGCGCCTGACTCGGTACACTCGCTGGCAGTCTTGGTACGGGCATGTGACGAGAACTTCCGAGTTGATGGCGATCTCAAGTTCCGGCACACCCCGGCAGTAATAATCGGCAGTCTTGCCCCAGCTGTCTTTGGGAGCAAGGTCCGCACCCAACTCCCGCAGGACTGACACAACGACAGCGCAGGCAGCGCGGCGCGGGCCCTCGGTTTGGCTGGCGACGTAGGCCGCTTGGATCAAGGCCGTGGAGCCGTCGGAGCAGCGGGCCTCGAGGTCGGAGCGGGCGACGGCCAGGCTCCGAACGATCTCTGCAAAGCCACGCATGGCCGCGTGGTAGAGGGCCGTCAAACCAAAGAAATCCGGGAAATCGCTAGCA